ACTTTCTCGTATAAAACTGGACGATGAAGGAAATGAACTTAAATGCGCTGTGTTGACTTCAAAAATTTTAGATTCTAGAGATACGGTTATTACTGAACTGAAAGCTGATCCTGAATTTGGAAATATCTATGCTTATTTGAAAGACCCCGAAAGCTTTGAGCATACAGATATCGATGCGATAAGAAATAGAGCAAAAAACTATGAAATAATAGATAATTTATTATTCTATACGAAAACAACAAACGAAAATCTTGAGTATAAGCCAGTCATCCCAGCCTCGCTTCGATTAAGCATTTTGAAGGAGTTGCACGAAGAAAAAACAGCGGGCCACCTCGGGGTCAGAAAGACTATAAAAAGGGTACGCGAGGCGGTATATTTCCCGCAATTATACAAAATAGTAACGGCGTATGTCAGGTCCTGCAATCAATGTCAGTTAATAAATGATATTAATTACAGCCCGGCCGGGTACTTAAATAGCATTCGCGCTACATTTCCGAATGAAATTTTAGGCATAGATCTCCTTGGTCCCTTCCCCCAGAGCGAGTTAAATAAAAATCGTTTTCTTTTAGTAATAGTAGATCATTTTTCAAAATGGATAGAAATTGTTCCACTTAAACGCGCGTCAGCCAAAACAGTCGCAGATGCATTCTTACACAGATACATTTTAAAATACGGTGCACCGATAAAAGTCATTAGCGATAACGGAAAACAATTCATTAGTCAAATATTTGAAAACATATGCAATGGACTTGGCATACGCCATATCAAAATGGTTCCGTATAGACCACAGGCTAACATAGCAGAAAGAGTTAATAAAAACATAGTAAAAATAATTCGCAGTTACGTGAGCACACATCACAAGCGCTGGGATGGCTACATAAATGAATTAGCTTATGCTTTAAGAACGGCACATCATGATACTACGGGAAAAACTCCAGCAGAATTATTTTTAGGCAGAAAGTTAATTACGCCTTTAGATAAATTATTCTTTGTGCAACAAAGAGAGCAGGAGTTTAAACAAAAAGATGTGCAAAAGCTGATTGATCAGGCGCTTAAAACCTCGGATACGGCAAGAAATAGGCAGAAACTATATTACGATAGAAAACGCCGTGAAGCAGATTTTAAAGTTGGGGATAAAGTATTGAAGCGGAAATTTTCTTTATCAAGTGCCCCAGACAATTTTATGGCAAAGCTAGCTCCAAAGTTTGAAGGCCCCTATGTAATTCAGGAAATCAAAGGAGTAGTCTTATATCTTAAGAACGAGAGAGGGGAAATCTGTAAAGCAAGTCCCGACCAGGTGAAAAAATACTATAATCCAAATGATTTTGAAATCCTTAAAAGTTTCTTGCAGGACTCAAGTCTAAACGAAAATAGAAGGGCCAGAGACAACAACTATTCCACCACCCAAGAAACAGAGAACTGAAGAGAGACCTAGCACTTCTACAACCCGGACGTCGGTATCAAAAAGAAAAAATAATTTTCAAACTCCGGCGTTTAAGAAAAACAAAAATACAGATGCACCGGGTAAAGAAACCGTGGTAAAGAGAAAAACACCACCTACAAAGGATAGCAGAAGAAATTACACATCAAGGAGAACGCGCACACGGCCACAGAGTCAGGTGCCAGCAAGGCCGCCGTTCCGGAAACTGAAACGCCAACAGGAGGCACAAAAATACGAGGAACAGAAGAAATTCAAGAAGGACTCCAGACCGGAGGACGTCAAGACCAGCCGTCCCAGGGAGAAACGGAAAGGCCAACAACCAGACGATTACTCCGTCAAGAGGCCAGCATGTAGAGGACGCAAAAGAAAAAGTCAGGTGGACGACACTCGGAGGCAGTAAGGAGAAGATTTAACATCCATGAAACCTCTAACTTGGGACCAATTCTGCCAAAAACGAATGACGGAGTTTCAAGCATCGAAAACTCAAAGATAAGTTAAAACCTTCTATAAATTTTTTTTCTCTTTTGTTCCGAAATGTTATGCATAAGTACGAAGTTCTATGTTTTGACGAAAGTCAATATGTCTCGGTTGAGACTTAGTTTTGTTTTACTTTATTTAGCTAAGGCAAAAGTATTATTTTCTTTAAGTGTAAAAGCTAAAAACAAGCATTTTCTGTTGGTCGAAAGACTAATTCTGTTATGTTAAAGCCAAAATTTGGCCGAAGATAAAAATAACTTCGTATTCTTGTATTAATAAGAATTTTACTTTCAGTGCCGCCAGCTTGGCGAAGAATGAGTAAAGTAAAAATTTATTTTCTCTTATTCATTTTATGGTAAATTGTAAAAAGCATATGTATTAAAATTTTGTAAATGTATGTAAATACTTGAATGTTATGTAAAAGTAGAATTTAGTCTAGAAGCATAAAATTGTAGATGCTAAAAGTGAATGCTTAAAAGCAATGAAGTCAAAATTTAAGTAGTAAATTGTAGATAAAGTCATGCTTTAGAGCGAAAGCCTGCATGTTTAAAGATGAATGAGGGGGAAGTTAGAATGAATGTGTTTTGTAGGGTTCTCCACCTACATTTGAATTTTTAAGACTATTAAAGTAGCTCATTGAGTTGTAGAATGTCGAGTAAGGTGTGTCTATTTGGTCGTTGAATTCTAACAAATCATGGTGGTTAGGGGAAGTGTTGTAAGACTAAAACACGAATATTCCCGTTTGACACCACACACGGTGGAGAGCCAGGGTAAAGTTAAATTAATGCTTGAAAAATTGAATGAATGTGAAGTAAGCAATAACTAAGAAAAACGAATCGTTTAAAAACAAAAATTTATTGTGTCAAGAAAGTGTAAATTATAATGTATGTAGAAAGATACTGATACTTATTCCTTCCAGATGCTGGAAGGAAAGACCAAGATTGATTGATGAAGTCCAGGAAAAGTTGCTGTAAGAAGAGAGCTTTGTAACGAGCAACAGAATTTTAGTATACAAATGGTTACATAAGATATTTTTTTTGTGTAAACGAGGTTCTCGCCAGTTAGTTCAGAATTAGAGAAACTTACAACAGGTCGTTTGTAGGACCTGCTTCCAAGTTTTCCAAATTCTGGCAGCGGCAAATGTAGGGTTTATATTTATTTTAACTAACATTTATTTTAAGTTTAAACTATCTTTCCTGTCAAGCCTTACTTTCCCCTGGAACTGCCAATGCCAGAATATGTAAATTTGAGTAGAACGCGCAAGGATTCAAATTATCAGCGGAAGTATTATGATTTAAATAGAAGGAAACGAGTTCGGTGTGTGATATTCTTACTTAGCGAGAGCGCGGAGGTAGTTAGCGAGAATTGAAGAACCCCGCGTTTGCGGCCTATGTGCTTGGCGGGAAGTAGTGTTAATCGTTCCAGTGAGCTTCAAGTCTGCTGAATTAGCAGCGGTATTGTAAAACGCGGTGAGTTAGTTATTTTAGAGAGCCTCGTAGTTAGAATCTTGTCTTTAGTTTCTTTTCAGGTTATTATTTTTATTTGACTGCCGAGTTGGCACCGTCTGTAAGCGTCAAGAGGACGCAATTGTAATTTATTACGTTGAATAAAAAGGGACTTAAACCCTTTACAAGACTCTGTGTTTTATACAGCTTTCACAGTCACCTCTTGGTTGCGTGCAAGTTGGAGGCGCGCAACGTTATAAGTTTTCCTTCCAGATCTCTGGAAGGAACCAGATTCAACAAAAGCTCTGTTTGAGTACAGATAAAGTAATTGTCCATGGAGCTGATAATGTAAAACTTTTTTTTTAATTTCTAGTTTCTAGTGAGAATGTTTGTAAAGATTGGCCTCGCGTTAGATTCTAGAGTAAAAGTTTCAACAAGGTCGTTTTAGACCTCAGTTTCAAACTAGTTAACTCTGGCGGGAAGTATGTAAGGATCTTAAGTTTTACTAACGTTTATTTTATTTTAAATCTTTACTATCACTTCTTATTTTCTACTTCCGGCCAGAATTAAAAGCTTTAACTTATTTATGCAAATTGGTCTGGCGAACGCCAAGTACTTAAGTTGTGGCTTTTTGCCAAGCAAGAGAGAGGAAGGAGTTAGTAGAAGCAGGCCGCTTGCCTTAGCAGTTTTTACTCGGTTGCTGGTTGCCTTCCAGGCCAGAGGTTTAATCCTCTTGATAATTTTAAACGTATTGTAGTGTTAACAGTTCTCTGTACTACATACGGCTCCCTGTTAATATACGGCCAATCTTCTCGGAGGCCCTTGTTTGTTACTCCAAAAGTTAAGTTAGAGTTTAGTTAATATTTTTATATTCTTACGTTCAGACCACAAGTGGTTGGTCTCTGTATTCCGAAGTCCGGAAATCATTATAAAAGGAAAAATAAAGGCTTTCGTATACCCTTCCTGTGTATCTTGTCTACTTCCCACATTTATTGAACATAGCTTTAGTAAGCTCCCTGTTCCGAGTCAGGTTCTTTGAATGTTCCCAAAGCAAGTAAGGAGAAACACTGAACCTGATATGTCCTCTGCTTGTGCTTAAGTTATGATTTGTTCTGCATATTCTTGGAGCAGATTTGAGTTGGAAAGAAAAAGGGAAATATTCTTCTTCCCAAATTATTCCTGTAACAGAAGCATGGACAGTTAAGAAGCATAGAAGCTTAAATTCGTAAGTTAAAATCTCACAAGCTCAAGATAAAATATTAATGGAAACAGTAATTTAATGTAACTAAAAATAGTTCTTTGCTTATATGCTATATTTAATGTTTGCGGACAAATATTAGAGCGCCGCCTAACCGGTACAGTGGCGGATGAGTGAAAGACCCTCGGACCCATCTACACGGGGTGCTCTTCATCTAAATTGGGGGTGGAAATGGCCCAAATCGCACTGTCACCTGTTAGGTGCTCAAGGCTGTTGCCAATGACAGGCGTAATCTAGCGCTCCTTACCACGAAGAATTTCGTGAGCCTTGGACTGACTACGTCAAACAAGTGACCATAAACAACAACAAATGTAAAAACAAAGTTAAAAACTGCTAAATTTTATATTATTTCCTCATACGTTTTATTTTCTATTTAAAGTGGCTGTGCATCCCGTTTAGCCTGACAAACTCTGCAGTAGGCAGCCTGGCACTGAAAGACACAGACTGGGTTGGCTCTCTGGAACCCTCCTCCATTGGACAGTACCTCGACTATGGGTTACTGTTAGTACTTGGTGGAATACCGTGGCAGGTGAGTAAAATCTATCAAAACTGCATTTGAGATTACTCTGTTTCAGAAATGAATTAAAGAGTTAGCAAATTCGTCATCTCCACTTTCGTCTAACATCAGGTTTTTTTTTCTTCTTTTCCTTTGAATCGGATAAAATCCGCTTAAACGAACTTGCTTTATTCGAAATCTTGCTTAAACGAAATCGTAAAGAGAAACAGCGCACAGTATACGACGCTTAATACGATCGCTGTTAATCTTATCATTCGGATTTGCCGAAGTCCCTCTCATTTGTGTACGAAAAAAAAATGTATCGCTTTTTTGATTAACAGTGTTATTAATATCATCAAATAGGAAAAGCAGCATGAAATGTTTTGCAAATAATATTTTGCAGTAAATTCACTAAATGGAACATTTTCTTCAGTGCAATTGCGATAATTTAATTGAATGCGATCGCAATGAAATTTCCTTGACAACAAAAGAAATAAAAACCAGGTTGTAAGTAGGCTTATTGACTGATTTTCCCGATAAATATCTAATTAGAAAGTTCTTATTAGAATATAAACTACATATGTAATAGGTAAATTTTTACAATCGAATTGAATGATAACTTATGGCATCATATACTTCTTTATCTGTAAAAACTGACAAATTGAGCTAAGAGGGTTGCGTTAATACGTTGAGTACCAAACTAAATTCTGTGGTACTTTTCCAAGTGGGAATTGAGCCTTTTAAGAAAATGATCTACTAAAGTTTAACGAATAATATAAGGCATTGTCTAAATTCCCAAGAATTTTAAATTTCTCACAAATTTCACATTTCTGAGCTTAATACGAAAATAGCGGTGGCTAAACATTAAACTGTATCGAAAAGAGAACTTTTAGTGCTTTTAGAATGCTGGTCAGTTTCAAAATGGTACTTAGCACAAAGTACTCCCAATAAATACTTTTCTTTTATAAAAGAAAATACCTTTATGGTTGTCGTTTTTTATCATTAAGATATATAAATATAAAAGTCTTCACAGCTAGGCAAAGTTCTCTCACATGAGAACAACTGTGTGTAATACTTACCTTCTCTGCAAATAATGTTGTTACAGATTTCTGCAACTATTTTGATTTTCTGTTTATCCATTTGATTTATTTATTTTAGTTGTCTATTTGAATGTTTATTTTTATTGCTATAAAGTTATGTGTTGTTTTTATTTATTTGTTTGTTTAACTGTTGCATTATATTCAATCACTTTCATATGTGTTTTATTGTAAACAAATTTCTGCTCAGATATTGTATATTTGCAGGCATTTATTTCTGTAGCATTGTGGATTATCTGATTCTAAGTCCAACAACGCTGAAATTGTAAAAACAGGTCAACCAGCACATAAAATATAGGCTAACAAAAACTCTCATAATGGGTCTTACTCGCAAATTTTATCGCCAAATTGGCAATATTTGGGGACCGACAATTTTTGGGATTTTTTATGAGAACGACTTTTGAAGCTGGAAGAGCGATTTTTTCCGAATATTCCAGAAAGCCAGGTAACAGATCATGTTTGAGCCGCTGCTGGCGTCAAGTGTAGTACTAAGATTGCCGTTCAAAGCGTTAGCTGAATAGCTTTTAGAGTTTATTTAAGAGGATTTATTTGGCTCATCTCTGCTTTATCCTTGAATTACTTCCGGTTATTTCTGTTGTACTCTATTATTAACTTCAGTACACTGTCATTTTCGTTTTGCTCATTTGGAGTAGTTATTTGAAAAGATCGCTACAAACATGTAACTCGAAAACGTATTTAGTTTAGTTTTTTCCTCGTACATTAATGTTCCGTAGTTTTCGCAACGAGAAGCATTAAAGAGACTATTGTTAATATTTTGCCTTTATAAATGCACTTTTCTTTTAGGTATATTTCCAACGGGTTTTATCCTCTAAGAGTGCCTTTCGTGCTCAGCTTTTGTCGTACGTGGCGGCAGCCGGTTGTATCATCATGGCCATTCCTCCAATGATTATCGGTGCAGTCGCAAAAGCCACAGGTAATGAAAGCACTTTCCTCATGTTTTTGCAAACTAGCTTCCTGCATTAAAACCCCTGTCTGTTTAAGTCTGTTCTGTTCTGATAAGCATAATTTATACGTGTTTTTCCGATATCTTTTAAACAATAATTCTAACTCTATGTCCAGAAGTGTTATAATGCTCGCCCGCGTTTTGCTGACACAAATGTTGAAATTTAGTTTATTCTAGAAGCCGCTCAGACGGTATAGTGGTTAGGGAAGCCTGACTGCTATACCGAAGGACCTGGTTTCGAATCCCGGGGAAGGCATGGTTGTAACTGTCCGTCCCTTTCATAGGAGGCAATGGTGACCCACCTATTAGGTGCCTCTATAATAAAGAAACCACCACATCTGGCCTTGTATAGATTAAATGGACTGTGGTACACTGTAACTGTTCACAATCTGCCATTGAAAAAAAAATTATTCTGGAAGAAATAAAACATGCTGTAAATAATATAAATCGGTCTGAGGACAAATGGTGTAAAAATCGAAGTATAACTCTGAGGTTACGGAAGGACAGTTTTGCTTCCGAACATGTGGTTCATCTCGAATTGAGATACAGACCGAAAAGAAATGCCAGTTATCAATACCAAAGTACGACAATCATCCTACTCATTTTTAATTTGAAAGGTTTTTCTTTTCTAATTAAAAGACCGCTTAACTTGATGCTCTGGAAAGCAGTTATTAGATAATAATGAAAGCAATATAATATGAAGTAGACGTAGTAATAAAATTGAAATAATTAACTCTGGTGAAACTAATGAGTGTAAAAATAAATTATACTCTTGCCATGATACGAGCCATAGATCTTCGGATTGTTTCCCAGGGAGGAATGCATGTAAGGACGAAATATGATTCAGAATATGAATAAGTCATTATAATTTATAAATAATACATTTACATTCCGTTTCGCTTCTTCTTTGGTTTATAATTTTCCACAACGATGCTGTCTCTGTTCAGCTGTTCATCTGTTTCTTATTTTCACAGCCTGGAATGAAACAGCCTTTACTGGTCCGCTACCACTGGACGCAGAGCACACATCTTTAGTATTACCCATGGTTCTCCAGTATCTTACCCCTGCCGCTGTCTCATTTGTTGGTCTGGGAGCAGTGTCTGCAGCTGTCATGTCTTCATCTGATTCTTCTATTCTGTCAGCGGCTTCCATGTTTGCCCGAAACATCTATAAACTCATCATCAGACAGAATGTAAGTAACATATTCTCATCGATATTTTGCTAATATAATTAAATTTTATGAAAGTTTGAAATGAAAAAAAAAAAAAAAAAAAAACATTATAAAGGGAATGTTCGCAATTTGAAACTGGAAAGATTCCTTAATCCCTTAGTGCTCATGCTTAAGTGAAACTTAGGTGATTTTTAAATTTGGCTAACTAAAATGTATGTACACTTGTAGTACATTTTTATAAACTTGTCAAACATGTTATTCAAATTTTAATTATCTTCAGTTCAAAAAATAGTTGTCTTCTACCGTTTCTCAAAATAAAACATGTATTAAGGGTTAAAATATGTTTGATATATACGTTAATCTAAGTTCGTCAGTTCAGAAAGTCATGCGGTTTACTTCAAGAAATGACGTGCGCAGTGCAATTAGTGATGCTTATTTTGATATTACCAGAAACTTTATCGTTCAAGCGGATATTTGTATGTATGCCTCCTTAATCGGTAGATCGATGCTGGCTGCTATATCTTTGAGCCAGGAATCGAATCCCCGAGAAGGTATGGATATTTGTAAATGTATAGTGGCTGTGCGACATAGAGTCGCTTAACAAAAAGCTCACTCTAGTGGTTTGGTGGTGGAGAGAAGAGAGGTAAAAGACCCTCGTATTTATTGCTTAGGATGTTCTTTATCAATATTTTGAAGAAGCTGTATATTTTGCAATGGGCCTGTACCTGTGTGGCCGTTAGTAAATTCCGGTATTCTGCCCCATTCTTTCTACATCTTTCTAACAATGATGGTGCATCTGAAGCACAGATAGAAAACAAAACACATCCTTTATAAATAATTTTGAAATTAAACTAGATTAAACAATTTGAGACGCTTTACTCTGAAATTTCAGTACCGGCCCACACAACATTGGATCCAGCTAAGGATCTCGGCTGCATGAAATAGCTGATAAGGATGATGGAATTTGGATATCGATTAATATGTAAGCTCTGAGTTCAAAAGGGGGATTACTGCTGTTTCGAAACCCATGCTAGTGGAACTACGGCTTACTTATATAGATTACCGAAAACCAGACAATTTGGCTAGGGTATATTAGGAATTAGACAATCTTCTAGACCATTGAATTAGCTCATTGAAATAGATAGAAGATCATCACATCATAATGATAACCATAGCAATATCAGATATATATTTTTTTATAATTGTTTTTCGGAAAACAAATACCGATGTTGACAATTGATTATCAGATACTGAGTGATCAAACTTTTATTTGTAATTTTTTATGCACGATTTATTTTTTAAAAAATCATTTAGCTTATCATTTAATGTGAAAGATATGTGTGCATCAAAATTGCTTACTAACAATTTAAAGTCCGGTTCTATGTCTATGGTAGTGAACCTAAGAATATGACATTGTCGTATCAGTGTTCTTGCTTCATTAGTTTGATTTCATAATACAAAAAGTTATTTAACAATTGTAAAATTTGCAAACTGTTGTTTAAGAACCTTTTTTTTAATGGGTGAAGAGACGCTCCATTCTTTTTCATTCTAAGATCCATTCTTTTTTATACTTAGCGCAATGCTAGAGCGCTTTGATTCTCACAAAATTTTATCTGCTCATTTTTTGGCTGACAGTCCCCATTGCATTTGAATATTCTTAAAGAGCTCTATACCGAAAAGAACTATATCCCTAAATTGCTTAATATATTGAGAGATCAGAGGCGTTTGAAAACTACATAAATTTACCAGGCATAAATATATGTAAAAGCACTTACATAACGTGTTTAAAGCTGGGTCTTTTTATCGATGTATTTGTTGTTCTTTTGTATCCCAGAAAATATTATTTTACTTTAAAACCTCGAGAATCATTTGCATATATAGATGTATGCAAATCCAAATTATAATGAAATGCTATCCTAAGTAAATATTTATTTGCTTATTCATTTTCTCCAATATAGGCCTCGGAAAGGGAAATAATTTGGGTGATGCGTGCGGCCATCATCTTTGTTGGTATCCTAGCGACAGCCATGGCATTGACCGTCAAATCCATTTACGGGCTGTGGTATTTGTCATCCGATTTGGTTTACGTGATGCTCTTTCCCCAGCTAGTTTGCGTCGTCTACTTCAAGAAATTCTGCAACACTTATGGGTCCGTAACTGCTTATGTTGTGGGCTTTCTCTTGCGAGCCTTAGGAGGCGAAGAAATTGTGGGTCTCCCGGCCGTCATCAAGTACCCTTTCTACAATGAAGAGAATGCCGAGCAGCTCTTTCCTTTCAGAACCCTATCGATGTTATTGAGCCTGACGACGTTGTTGTTGGTGTCCATCATAAGCAAGCGCCTCTTCGAGAGTGGACGCATCCCACCGCAACTGGACATCTTCCACTGTGTCGTTAATATCCCCGAAGACATCCTCAAGGTTCAAGAACCCCAGGAAGGTGAGATGAGCGTTCTCAATGCCCATTTGACAAAAACATATCAATCAGAAATGAATGGAAGAGTCAATCCGGCACTGACCCTCAGTAGCGATGAGGCCGAATCCGATTCTCCACTGTCGTCACTGACGAAGCAGCCACCCCCTCCCTACTTTGCCACCAACCCTATCCAAAATACGACGGGTTTCTGAAAGCGTGGTCCATGGTCCAATATCTCCCCGTTGGAGTAAAATCCCTTACAATTTCAGTGTTCTTGGCAGTACTGAGTATAGTTCTTGTTTTTGTACTATTCATGTAGTACACCAAATATGCTGTAGGCACAGTTTTGATGTTAGATTCGTTTACTGCGCATAAGGAAATAATTTAGAATGGCATTTAGCGATGCTAAACCGTCATTTATATTTTTTTATGTTTATATCAAATTTGAGATTTAAAGTTCTATATAAAAGCCCACACAGTTAATCCAGAAAATGTAACAAATGTTTTTATAGTAGTATAATGCTTAGTTATACTCTTCTAACTTCAAGGATAAGTTTAGGTTTCTCTGAATCCGATTTGCTAATTGAATGTCTATATCTGATATGAAAAAATTTGTTTAGTGAACCTTATACATGTCCTTATGTTTCATATCTAAAAAGGGGATAAAATTTGAGTAACTTATTACTTTTCCTTTCTAAATTAATAACATTGTAAAAGCATATTTGCAACGCATTTCAAGGAAGGTTTATTATTATTCGAAAAATAAAACTATTCGAAATTTAATGTTCAAAGAACATTATAATTACACGTATTATTTATCAGCAGCAATTAATTCTGAAATTATTAACGATTATCATACGAATTGGCTATAGAACGAAATGATATATATTTCCAAAAGACATGACTGATAAAAGTATACAAAACATTTCTAAAATACATTTCAAGAACTATATTCTTTTCAGAAAGTAATACATTATGTAAAGCTGCACGATAAATCATCAACTGAGAGGTGTTTTGGAAATTTTTTCAGAAGGTTGCATATGAGATTAATTATTTTAATTCATAAAAACGTATTTCAGGTCTCTCGCATTTTATTCAAAAATCTATTGCGTTAACTCTTACTTATATACCGGTTACCTTATATTGTTTGCTAATGATTGTAGAATTTCTAGTCTTTCTAGTCTAGTAGTCATATGTTATGGACGTTCTTATATAGCTTATTATATGCTATGGTGCAATTACAGTTATTTAACACTAATTTAATGAATACAGACACTTTTCGCAGCTTAATTTTAGGAACAAATGTTTCGTTATTTATGAAGCCAAAGTAAAACATTTATTTTCTCAAGGTCATTTGACCGGACATCAGTGCCAATATTATTAACAGATACAACTCTCATGTATCAATCAGAATAAAACATATTGTGGTAAGAAAATATTTTATTCTTTTATACATGCAGCATTTTTATGTCGAGAGTCTTAGATTATTCTAATACGTTCTGCCAAGAGCACTGCAAATTGTACTTTGAGATTGGCTTTTATGTTTTTAGTGTCATTTACCCTTGATACTAGAGCTTTAATGGCAGTTGAAGCAGTTGGAAAGTATGAATATACATATCACCTTAGTATACTGTTTGTTAATTAGAGAAATTATTTGTTACGATCTAACATAAGCATGTTGATGTTGAAGGATACCATTATTTGTTATGAAATGTGGTAAAATTAGCCCTCGTGTAATATCTCCATTGTCGCAATTGTTTACATTTCATTTTACGTAGAGTATGCTGATAATATTTATTGCAATTTCTATTATGTAACCTTTTTATTGCCTCACAGGTGTTATACAATTTACAAACATATCATGGTGGAATAAATGCCGCTAGTCCATAGTGAAGAGAAATTCAAATGTCTTAAATTTGTACATTTTACTAATATGTTTGTATATTCTTGTAAAGGTGAATAATTGAAAGACATTTAGGACAGAATTTTAACTTATTTTTAAAATATTCGGTCTGTGCTCTGACCTTAAAATATCAGATTTTTGATTAAAGTACTAAATTATGAAATTGCAGTTTTAATATAAGCTGTAAGCAAATAACATTATTTAAAGCTAATGATTACGTATGTAAATCTAATGACATGATTTTATTTTGAACCTATTCATATATTTTTGTAAGCAGAAATTTTCAAGCTATATTCTCATAGCACGGAATTTAATAAACACTAACAATAGCTAGGCTGTTACATAGAATTTAAAAAATAGTATGAATAGGAAAAGAATTAATTTTTATGAATTTTACAAAATGTGCAATACTGTTGCGTGAATTTTTATATGAGTTGCAAGGAATCTTTAATTGAAAATAATAGGTTTGGGTGAGTTTGGTTCCTAATCAATCATATTATGAATTAACAATAAAGACGTAAAATTCTTTAATACTTTCAACGCTGTTTATCACGTAATTGTTCATTTCAAACTGATTTTCACGTAATTTGCAGTTGAAACTTCAATAAACTATATTATACAATTACTTAATATAGAATGTGTTTCACAAACATTTATCATGGCTTCTTTTTATTTCGTGGTGCTAAATTCATAATTTTTTTTTGCAATTTTTTTCCAAACAGCGTAAAAAATTTGAAGATAACAGACTTATGCTTGTAGTTATTTTCTTAATACCAGGAAATTTAAATTTTATGTGACAACTTTCGAATAAAATATTTACTTAAAAAATTGTTTGATATCTTAAGTACAAATATAAGTTCGATAGTAATATATAATTAGTTAAATATTAATATCTGTTTAAACAAAGAAAAAAAATAGTATGATTCTATAACCTTTCTCAGTTCTTTGCAAAAGAAATTTGGATGGGATTGTGAACGGTATGAAAGCAAAAGCATTTATTGAATTCACTCCTAACGGAATGTAAAATTTTGGTTTAAAAAGTGCAGTACCGTTACAGAAAATTTGAATAGCATTTTTAAAATGTATATAAAATAAATAGTCTAATGAAATTTGAAAATTGCTGTATGTCTGTGAGTTTTTTAATCGTCTCCCAGTTTTTCAGAAAATGTATATCAGTTTTGAAGCTTTAATTTTTATTCGATACACTCTATACATATTTATCAAATCAGTTGAGTTTTTTCATAATAGTCTGATTCTTTACAATTTATTTTTACTTATTTTCTTATACTCCATTTCTCGTCACATAGCACCAGCAGTTCAAAAGATAAAGCCATGATCAGTTTTTCTGAAACACTTTGATTCATCTTATGCGTGGGTTTTACACTATAAAATCCTAAATTAATGGAGTAAAATTTATACTTATTTTTATAACGTTTCTAATTTCTGTACTGGCACGCAAAAGTCTTGGTTTTGGTCCAAAATTCCACAAAGCTCCAAAATTTCTTCCCTGCTGGCTTTCGAACAAAATTTTAGGATTTAGAATTTGAATAACTTAGTTCAAACATATACATATTTCAAATATTTATATATATATTCAGATTTATAATTTATAAGAAATGCATCAAATATGTAATATTGTAACTTCAGATTTATAAGCATTTACGAGTGCGAGGAGGTATGTACTAAAATACAGTATTTGCATAAAATATTTCATAATTAAGTTTTATGATTAAGAAATGAATTAAGTTAAGCAAAGAATAGAGAAATAATTTTTGTTGAATATCTTAAACGGCAGCATATCATTCAATGTAAACAAAAACATTGAAATATGCAGATGTGAAACGTAACTGAAAAACATTATAGAAAAAATACTTCTTTAAAAGATAAAATCGATATAGATTCATAGATTAATTAGCGAAATTCATAGATTAATATTAAGCGTAAAAAGACGATTCCTAACTGTCATACAAAATATAGTTTAAAATTCAAATATGTTAATAATTAATAAGCTAATAAAATATAAATAAAATGTGAGATATGCATTGTATGAATGTATACCTCGTATTTTGATTTGATAAATAAAACTTTTGTGTGCATTACATTATTTTGAACTTTAAAATAGAATTAAAAACATGAGGAGAAAAAAAAATAGGTTTTGAAATTACATATACAAAAGAAAAATAACCTTTTTTAAATATATTTTCCTTATATAATGCAAATGTATCACCTGCAACTATATTTGCTAGCTCTGTTAGCAAATATGGTTGTTAGCAAAACCTCCTTCTTCATTGTATGTTTTCTATCTTTTATGATATCTCTTTGTTCATACCTACATATATGCAACAGAAATTAAGTAAATTGATAAATTAATGATAGCATCTAAATAAGTGCTTATAAAGTAAGAAGCTGGAATTATTCAAAGAAGCAATGTGGATTTTGAAATGGGTGTAGTTTATTTATATTTACATTTAAGTTTTCTAAAACTGTGAAAATATACAGAAATAAAAGTTAAGAATGAGTATAACTCATAAGAAAGTTTATTTACGTTTAAACATGTGTATTTGACACTAAAATTACTTTTTATTAGTTTATATGTTTTTAATATAGTTTTTAATCGTAATATTATAAACCAATCTTATATAAAGAGAAGCACTGAAATTTGTAGTATGATAAGTTATTGTGGAAAAATCCGTTACTTGATGGAGAGTAATTTTAAACTGACGTTCAGTGCATGTATTTAACATTGGACTGAATTATTAAGTATTAACGGGAAATTTCTATTGCATATACTGGTGAAGATTTTTCTATTTTGACCTTTTTAAATTTGTATACCTACAAATAATATTTAATGAAACATTTTTCCTTTTAAAGCAAAGCTCAGCCCTTTTTGTGCAATGAACTTAGAATATCGTAGGCTTTTAACAAAAACTACACATATCAGCTACCATGCGGAAAGCCTGTTAGTAATTAATTCTTTCCACTATCTAAATTTCTTAATTTAGATTTATTAACTAAATTAGTTAAAATTATTTATTAATTAAAATTATTAATTTATTTTAATTAATTAAATTCATTACATAATGAATTCAATTAATTAATAATTAATGCATTTATTAAATTATTTTTATAATTTACTAATTTACTATTAAATCTAAATTTCTTAATTTAATACTTTAATTAAATTTAAATTTTCAATGGTAAGATTTTTAATTTTTCTAATAAATTTTAATTTTAATTTCAATTAATTTTGTTGAAATAGTTATTTATCTTTGTTTTTTGTTTGTGCCATAGCTGTCTTTTAAGAGTTAAATTTACAACTCAATACGGTAAATTCTAATACCCTTGGAATTATTTTTGATAAAAAGTCGTACTATCCAATCATATAAATGTTACTTTTTTTTTCGACGTAGCGTTTTTTGAAGGAAAAAAATTAATTAATTAATTATGAATAATTCATTATATATTAATTAATTAAATTATAATACTATATTAATTAATTAATATAATAAAATAATTTTTATCAGTATAAATTACGCGTAGAATTTTTAAAGATAAAGTAAAAAATAGTAATATTAAATATTTTTTGGTAACTTTTAGGCACATGAACTTAAGATTTATACATACAAAAATTTAGTATTTTCTAGAATGATTTACAAATGCCATAATGCATATCAGATAGATGCAAAACTTCGATATGCTATATGCATGTCGGGATCTTCTAAAGAAAAACACATATCAATGGCAGATGAAATGGTTCCTCTTGATATAATGATGTTTTCAGAATTTAATTAAGTATTGCATTATAACCATTTATTAACTGTGTTTTTCCATGGTTTGTATAGCATTAGTTTTAGCCACAGAAATTTTTATCACTTAATGAAATTCTATCGCTACATAAAATCCATTATAGCATGGTTTTTACTCTGCGAGTTCGGCAGAAGACCGAGGTTTATTATAAATGCGATAGATGTGAAGCGATATTTGCTAAGTTTTTAAATACTTTTTCCCCTTACCATTTGCCTTTTATATCAACCTGGTGTTTCCAATGACAATCTTCTTTAAATATCCGAGTTTTACATTAAATCGGCTGTCAACTTAATATATTTTGACACTACCCCTTTGTAGGCACTTTAATAATGTTTCCGAGTGCGTATAATTTCCTTTTTTGGACGGTAGCTAAATAGAGGGAATTGTGCGCCATCTATGAGGAGGAAGAGAAACTTTTCCTTCATTCGACTGAAAGTTGCGAAACTGCTCCGATAGATAAAACACGGTGTATTTATGACAAAATTATATTTATTCGAAGTATTTATTACAAAATAATTAACGTACTCTGAGATGAGGAGTATGGGATCTGTAATATATTTATTGTTTACAGAACTATATCTGTATTTGTCATGCTAAAATATTTTCCAGTTCTTACTTCGATTGGAATGTATAGTTTAAGTCAAGTGTTAAAATATAATTTTGCTATCTGAAAACTACTGATGAAATGTGTGTAGTTTAAATATTTAATTATTATGTATATATATCTTATCAATAATATGTAAATTTGTGCCTAAATATTGTATGTTTCGTATATGTTCCCATCATGTTACGGTTTTTAAAATTTTAAAAAATTGTGTTTTACTGTGAGCTGTAAATTTTCTGTATATATTTAAAGAAGCTTTACTAATTTTAATTTATCTTAGGCAGCTGTTTGAGCTATTCAGTGTTTTGTAGTATTTTGTTCTGCTATGATGAAATAAATGATGTGGTGCCATTAAGGATAAAAATATACTTAGACATGACCTCATTTTTTCCTTGCTTCGTATATTTGTGAACTTAAAAATATGCTGTGTTCCCAGATATCTGTAGGATTATCTATGTAAAATGTGAAAATTTGAAAGGTATATTTACACGCGCTCATTAAACATTCAAACATTCGTTAAAAGGAAAAGAAAAATTTTTATTTTGTTTAAAGTAATTATATTTAAAATTAAAAATTAATTGATAAAGAGAATTCAGTGGACGTTGGTTACTAAATTGTGTAATTTAAATTTAAAGCTTCTCTATTTCTTCTTGTTGGAAATTAAAAAAGATATCTAAACATTTCTTGTTTTAGATATATAGTTTAGAACTGTACAGCGTCCTCTAGATGTAGGTGCTTTTTTGTAAAATGAAAAATAATGTTTACTATTGAGAGTGAATTTGAAATATAATATTAGCAGGTATCAATTCATTGTTGGATGTATTATATAATACTGAAGATAAATGGCACAGAGAGGAGGTAGATTTTTATCCGATTTTTTGACGTTTTTAATGTCCATTTTTTCCCTTAGAGTTTGTAATGTAAATTTAAATTGTAAATCATTGTAAATTAAATAATTAAAGTGAGAAAATATTTTGGTATGCTATTCTGATTTCTGGGCTCAAACAGATATATTCAAGAAGTGTTTGCGATAGAAATTACATGTAAACCAGTGGTGACAAATCAATGGTTCGCTTGCGATTTAAAAATACTCTTAACGATGAGCGATGTCAACTTTTGTAGCTTTAATTACTTTCTGAAACTATTATTAATGTACCTCAGTTTAAATATTTTTTATTTCTAAGTGTTTCAAAGTTGTCTCCGCTTAGAAAGTTCTGCATTGTTGATTGAAATAAGCTTGTTATTAATTAGTTGACATTATTTATTAAATAAGGAATATATTATTGATTAATAAGCGATTTTAGGGTGCTTATGATATATATTTTATGAAATATCCTCTGGAAACTTCCATGACATTCTTAGTTATTTTTTGTTGCTTGAGTGGAAAATATCTAATTTGGCATCACTGGAACTTAACACATTTTATCAAAAGTATTATTGTAATATTTTATGCCTTTAATGTGAATGCTATGTTAACATTTTATTGTAAGAATTTATTTACATAAATTTAAATACTTTATAACAGCGTTTCTCAGACTGCAGTCGGTGGATCACAAATGATCCTCGAAGCCTTCCCTTGTGGTCCTCCTACATTTTCAATAATGTCCTGTTATTTGTAAACAAAATTAACAAGATTTTACTCCATTCCTTGGTGGCGACACATCGCTAAGTACATTGACACATCAAAATTAAATGAAATAAATCTCTGTCTACGAGGTAATTCTTTGATTTCCTCAGTGTCTATGACAAATTAGAGGGGTTTGAAAAGAAACATTGTTTCTATGTTAGTTGTGTAAAACATAGACTTTTAAATCATTTCCAGTTTTAAAATCTTTTTAGTACAAATTATATCGTAAATTCTATAATGGCATAGTTAGCATCTGAAAACAATGAGTTCACAATTTAAAACTTATTTTCCAAGTAGTAAATATAACGAATTTCCACAGGTTCTTGATACTTTCCACTGCAGTTTTTAAAAATAACAAATTATCGTTGAATAACAGAAAGTTAATTTAACTCTGTCATCAAACTGGACTTAAAATAAGATTCCAAGCAGAAGGTATGGTTAATTTTTGGACTTCATTTACCAGTGAAAACGGCATATAGTAAACTGTATAATAAGGCTTCAATTTCCAGTTTTAAAAACATTTTAGTAAATATTATATCGTGAATTCTATAATGGCATAGTTAGCATCTGAAAACAATGAGGTCACAATTTAAAACTTATTTTCCAAGTAGTAAATATAACGAATTTCCACAGGTTCTTGATACTTTCCACTGCAATTTTTAAAAATAACAAATTATCGTTGAATAACCGAAAGTTTATTTAACTCTGTCATCAAACTGGATTTAAAATAAGATTCCAATCAGAAGATATGGTTAATTTTTGGACTTTATTTACCAGTTAAAACGGCATATAGTAAACTGTATAATAAGGTTTCAAAAATTATAATTCAATTTGCTTCTGCGTATGTGGTAATAAAGGGTTTTTATCCCTAATTCAGATAAAAACAAAGGACAGAAATTGATTTTACGTATGTGCGTATTTCAGACCTCGAGCATATCAGAATACACCGAACGTAAAGCAACTGTGCAAAACTCGGTGTCTTCTCTATCTCATTAATGTGAGTACCAACATTTATTTAATTTTAGTTAATGAGATAAAGATAATCCAAACTCTAGCAACCTTGAATTATTAAAAACAAATATAACTTTTCTTCTATTAACTTAATTGTTTAATATCAGTGTAACTAAACTCCAACGGTCACTATATGCCGCAATTTGGAAGATGGGCGCTGTACTTGCCTTAATGGGTGCATAACAATAAATGAATCTGCGCCTGTAAGCCCCGTTATTGGATAGGATTAAAGGCGTAATAAAGTGTGTGTCCAGTTACCACGAAATTACTAACATCAATATAATGTTAAATGAGTTTAAATTGCACTTTAAAAATATAAGTATACTGGTGCTGATATATGCTTAAAAAATTCCTTCCGAAAGTGACAAAAATAAGGTGGTCCCTAGAACTTTCTAATTTACAAAGGTGCTCTCCACTTGGAAAAGTTTGGGAAATGCTGCATTATAATGATTACATATATTAATATCATCCCATTTGATAGAATTTAAAATTTGTTTTGTCATAAACACTTATTATTCATGAAACAAATATTTTTTTCGTGATATTAATTTTTAACTTAATAAAGGAAATTCTTCTTAGTTATGTAATCATTTATTCATGTAAGATTCTGCTTAATTTACTTGGCAAAAATGTAAGACTTTCAACTTTAAGATTTCATTTAATATTTATGAGCTTTTGTGAAGGTTAGCATTTTGTGTGTGTCCTGCCTGTTTCAGCCTTATGTATTAACATATCAATGACATTGAAGTCATCCTGCCACTCCCTTGTGAGTGTTATCTATACATATCATGAACATTTCAAATATACATATCAAAGACTTCAATGGATAAACATATCAAGAGGAAATAAAAAAAGTAAATTGTTAATTTTTAAAAACGAAAATATATTTTATATCCAATCAAAGCTGTAGAGTGTAATTAATGTGTTATTTCAATGTTTATTAATGTGCAACTCCAATGACAAAGTATAGTCGGTGCTTTTATTGCCTTC